AAACGTATTCGGCCATCCCCAAGCAGTTAATTCGAGACAATGCTAATCTAATTGTGTTGTTTCAACAGGATCAAACTAATTTAAAACACGTGCACGAAGATCACGTGAATGTCGATATGCCATTTGATCGCTTTAAGGAAATGTGCGTGAGGTGCTGGAATGATAAATATGGGTTCTTACTTATCAATAAAGAAAGTGACATGAACTCGATATAGGAAAGGTTTTGATTGTTACATTTTAATATAAATATCGATGTTTCATATGGAAAAAATGCAGTAAATATGAAACAGCGTTTAATAGAAGACCTCCTTGATGCCAGAAAATCTGTTAAACATAAATACATATCCTTAAAGCGTGATTTTGCGATGGCAGAACGTAAATCCGAGCAACATCTTAAACCCATTACACAACCGCTGAAGCAACTGCTTACTAAAGCTACACCTCAGAATTTTAAACGTGAAAATATTAAACATGATAGTACCGACGTGACCTCATCTCCAGAGACCCTACTTCTGACCCCTCTAAAAGCGTCTACTGCTTAACGGATCCCTAAAACCCTTTTTTCGGAACACGAGGAACAACCGAGCTTTTTAGACACGAGCGTGATTGCCGATACCACTCGCGATGATGAAACGCCAACTCTAGATGAATTAAGAGCTGAGCTCTCGCGGGCAGGCGACCATCCATCTTTTACGGAATTCTTAGATCAATACAATGGATTGGCGAAGATTTATGTGGAGCAGATGTTCAGATCTACAGAGAATGAATTTGTTGATCATCGATATGGACGATACATCCCGGAAACCTATAAATTCTACGTTGGAGATTCCCAGTTGGACTTTGACAAGCAAGATTTCGCTCTCAAACTTCCTACAGGAGACACAGTAGCATATAACGGAACTCCTGGTCTCTACGAGCTATTATTTAAGAGACAACCTCTTGGGTACAAAACAGCAGATGAGAATAAGTATCGTGACATTTTGCTCCGTACTAATGCAATACGACGTCATTACATTAAATGAACAAATTCAAGGTACCGGAAAAAAGTACGTACAGCAGCATCATTAAACCATTTTTGAGTACCCGTGCATCAGTTTGCAAAATTCAACTTCCTCTGTTAGCACAAGGAAAGGGAAAGGTATACAAATGTTACAATTAAACAACAAGCGAATAGAATTTATGCCCTGGAGCAACCCCAACAAATTAGTTAACTGGCTGTGGGTTTTATTGGGATCTCAATCCGCAGGGAACACGAACAATCACAATGAAATCATATACATCATAGATGGATTGCGGAATGCTGAAATAATAAAGATATTTAGTTGGTAGTGTGGTCTTAATAAATAAATAGTGAGATTGAATCTTTAATCGATCAGTTTGAAGCAAAGATGAGTATTGACAAGTTCGGTAAGCACATTCTAAATCAATCAAAAGCTGAAGAGGTGTCTTCTTATACGTATGAGTCATACTTATATATGTTGGGAACGCAAGCCAAGAATGCGCAGTTCGTTCGTTGGTACACTTGCAATAGACTACCACCACAATCGTTTGCATTTCCTCTAACGGAATGCGTTGTAATTAAGAGTTCTTGTTCACCGCGCCATGGAACGACTATTATTATAAACGAACGTTTGTACAATACACCGTTTAAGTTAAAAAGGATAACACTACGTAAAGATGACATCATCAAAGCCAAATGTTCAGAATATAGACCAGGAGGAGACTTATTTTGCTTGGAACTACTATTACAATCACGTCTCAGGAAATGAGTAAAGTACAGCTAGTGGAAGAATTACATAAACCTGCAAGAAGAAACTTTCCTAGGCGGCACGTAATTATAAAAGGACTAAATGACCTATTCCAAGCCGATTTGGTGGAAATGATATCTTATGCGCCAATGAACAAAGGTTTCCGTTACATTTTGGTGGTTATAAACACATTTTCTAAATTTGTTTGGGCGTACCCTATAAAACGAAAAAATGGAAAACTGGTGGCAGATGTTATGAATAAACTTTTATCGGGACTTAAAACGACCCCGAAACATTTACAAACAGATATGGGAAAGGAATTTTATAACAAGGATTTTGGAGATGTAATGAAGAAATTCAATGTCAATCATTATAGTAGCTATTCTACCCTAAAAAGCTCTATTGTTGAGCGCGTTAACAGAACGCTTAAGTCAATTATGTTCAAGAAATTCAGCTTACAGGGTTCCTACAAATGGCTATCACTTTTACCTCAAATAGTTGACAAATACAATTCAACTAAACATCGAACTACGGGATATAAACCTATCGATGTTAACGAGAAGAACGCTTCAAGTATTTTGAAGAGAGTTTACAGTCATATAAATGTGATTAACCCAAAACCACCTAAATTTAAAGTGGACGATTCTGTGAGAAATTAGTAAATACAGAACCGTTTTCGCAAAAGGTTACACGCCAAATTGGACTTACGAGACATTCACAGTTGCTAAAGTGAGACGTTCAAATCCTACGACATATATACTAAAAGATGGTACAAATCAAGAAATAAAAGGAAGATTTTACGAACAAGAATTACAAAAAGCACAGTACCCCGACATCCAGTTGGTGGAGCGAGTAATTCGAAGAAAGGGCCAGAAATCCTTAGTGAAGTGGTTAGGATTTGACAGTTCTCACAATTCTTGGGTATTAAATAAAGATATTCAATCAAATTTTTGGCATTTAAAAGCTGTACTTCAAGTAAGATGTGTTTAGAGGACGGCGCAGCTGATTATACCAACTTTGAAGACCGACTCCTATCATTTCATTCATGCGTAGGAGTTCCATCGGCAGTTGAACTTGCTAATGCTGGATTGTTCTACATGCATAGCGGCGATACGGTGGAATGCTTTTATTGTAAAGTACGCATTAATAAGTGGGAGGCCTCCGATGTACCCTTAGCTGAGCACCTTCGTTGTTCGTCACGGTTGCAGATATGCAAGATTATTAAACAGTATGGCCTGCTTGAAGATCAATGAAACAGAGAAGACCTACTGCGTTTGCGGTTGTAGTCCGGGCACTCGTCTTATTTAATAAAAACAATGTGAATTATTTTTTTTAATTGTAATTATGGCACATGGTATTGTAAACATTTTAAAAAAACATTTTAAATAACTTAGCTTGTTATTGATGATTACAAAGAATTAAGAAAATCTTCCAAACTTTGAATCGCGTTAATATCGCGATGTCCCATGCCAATGTTCTACAGGTGCCAGGGATAATATAGATATCTTTTTTCGTCCGTTGATGATAAGGCTATTTTGTTGGTTGTTGGTTGTTGGTATTTGGTGCAGGAGCATTACTTTCTGCTGAGAATGTAAAATTACGTATTGATGATGTACCAATTACTGTAAAAAATGTCGCTAAAAATTTAGGATTGTGCGTAGATAGTGATCTTCGCTTTAGAGAACATGTAAGGAACTGTATACGCAAGGCTTATGGAAATTGAAATGCCTGTATCCGCACCGAGCATTCCTGTCCGTTAAGACAAAAAAAATGTTGTGCGACTCGTTAGTGTTGTCGCAATTTAATCATTGTGGCATGGTCTATGGGCCATGTCTTGATGCTGCCTCTGACAAACGTATACAGGTTGTTCAAAATGATTGTGTTCGCTTCATTTTTGGTCTTAGGCGTCGCAGTCATATCTCTCACAAATTGAGAGAATTAGCGTGGCTTAATATGTCACAAAGGCGGAATAAGCTTCATTCTTTATGTGTGTATCACTCTTTAATTACTACTGGGTTTCCGAAATATCTTAATAACAAGATGCGATACCGTACCGACGTACACAACGTGAATATACGGGGAAAGGGATTATTATCGATGCCCTCCTTCAAGTTTATTTCTAAATCAGCTTATCTGAAATCATTTTCTTACAACGCAGTTGTAACGTACAATGCCCTTTCACCCGAATTGAAACGCTTGCCCTTAAAATTATTTAAATATCGTATGACATCTTTAATGTTAGACGATTAACGTGCACAAAGTAAATATGGCAATCACAGTAGGCATCACTCTCTATAGGGTAACACTGGTCGGATTATATTTACATTCTGTCAGTTATGGGTTCTTTCGCAGCAATTTTGAGGTTAAGTGGTAGAGCGGAGAAGAGCAGTCCCTCAGTATTGCTCTTCAACCGAACTTCGCCTTTGGGGTTGCAGTCTATTGCATATACGTGCATCTGTATCTTTAAACTGTAAAAATATGTACTACCTAATCGTATTTGTCAACTGCTGCATCACCCAATAAAGCTATATTATTATTATTATATTATTTTTCATTTCTGTATACTTGGTGTGCGAGTAAGATCGAAAACCGCTCATCTGTTTCATAATCACGCCACCTTCTTCGACTACTTTTCTATAATCTTCCTCTTTCAAGCCATTCTTTATTACATATTTTTTTACTCCTTTAGCTTTCTTATCAACCCGATTACCTACATTTACACAGTATGACTTTGCACCTGCACCGTAAAAACTAGAGATGTGAACACCGCAATATTCGTCTTTCATTTTCCCTACAACTGAAATATTGCGTGGAATACCGTGCACATTATCGACTGGAAATTTAGATGTATCAAACTTATCCAAATATAATTTCAGGTCATCATAAAAGTTATTAGTAAAAATCTCCAATATAAGGGAATCGGTATCTGTATATAGCAAAGATACTTTATCTTGATATAGTTGTTTTAGAAAATCGTAAAAAACTCGTACATAACTGTTTTGGATAAATCTAAAATTGAAAAACCAACATACACCGGTTTGTTATACTTTACGGATACTTTGGACATTTCAATTGCCACAAGATCTTCAGAAAATACCGATAGATTTTTAAAATTTGGTTTAGATATGTACCCTTCCGCTCCAAGCTTCTTACCGACCCTTTCCCAGTGACTCACAAGTTCAACGTTAACTCGTTTGTCCACGTTTTCCATAGTTTTGCCTAAAATACTGTTAAGGTACCTATTCACGTTCAGTCGGCCGGCCGGCCATGGATTGTTCGTCCGGCCGTTATCGAACCTTAAACTACACGTTCAGTTTTTATTAGCGATTTTGGACGACAGTTTTTGATCGGTTTCGATAACGGCCTCAGAGGTTTAAGTATTTAACTACACACGCGCAGTTCTACGCCGTCAGTTCAATCATGTCCCAAGAGTACGCTGCAGGTGCAATTGTTTTAATCTCACATCAGCAAAAAAGAAAAAGAAAAGCTATTTGGATGAAAGAGTGGTTAAAAAAACGTAGCGCTTTATCTCACGTTGAACTTGTACGAGAACTTCGACAATCAAGTGCAAGTGATTTAAAAAATTTTCTAAGGATGGATGATAATTGTTTTGACTATTTATTAAACTTATTAAAGCCGTATATTACAAAAAAGGACACCGTAATGCGGCAAGCAATTAGCGCAGAAGAACGACTTCTAGTGACTCTAAGATATTTGGCAACAGGACGCAGTATGGAAGATTTAAAATTCAGCGCTATTATTTCACCACAAGCTCTGGGCAAAATTATTCCTGAAACGTGCAAATATATATATTTGGTTTTGAAGGAGGAATACTTAAAGGTAAACACATAATACATATTTATATATTTTATTTCAAAATTAACAAACAAACATAAACTAATTTCTAAAAAAATATGTAGATTAAATTTATTATAAGTCAGAAAATGTTTTTTTCTGTAGACGTACATAAGTATCCATAGAGAAGCTCCTATCATTTTCATTTATATGTTGCTTTGATTGAGTTTCTGAATGAGTAAGCTGGGACTGCGACTCTATTTGTGATGAAGCGCGTGGCTGTGTTTGAGAGTGTGAATTATTGTTAGTATAATGTTGTGGTTGTGATTGGTCCGGTGATTGTGGTTCATACATAGTTGTGGTCGATTACAAGAGTCTATTTGCGTAATTGGAGTGAATGACTGTAGATATGAAGTAGTTTGGACTGGTATTTTCGGTTGATATGCTGATCCTAGTTGCTGCGTATAATGTTGTGGCCGTGATGACTGAGTACAAGACTGTATTTGGGACTGAGTAGGTGGTGTTACAAAAGTAATATCTGGATATAATTGTGACTGACTATGCTGTGCCTGCAAATGACTCGAATCTTGGCTGTACATATTATATGCTGCATTATTAGTAAATCTATTTGATGGATATAAATTTATAGTTACATTGTCGCTTAGTTTGTTAGTAATTCCATAATGTAAAATAGTATTTATCAAATGTTCAGCAATATCGCGCTGATTTTTTTCCATTCGTTGAAGTTTCCATGCAACATTTGCTCCAACAGTTTTGAACTCATTATCACCTCTACTTAAAACTTCATATGCTTTCTCGACCATCAGATCATGTTTGGTTTGTTTCGCTTTTTTCCTTGTCGGTGTGGGTGTTCTGGATAAACATGTTGTCTCCGATATTGTTGTTGGTGAGAATGGATTTGAAGCTTCTGTACTGCTTAATTCGGATTCCAACTAAAAGAAAAGAATATTATAACAGGCAAAATTGACTTATTATTAAACATGCAATTATATTTATTAAGTTTAGTTTAATCATTTAACCTTTTTCAATTAAATATTCTTTTTAGTTTCCACAAAATTGCGAAGAATGGCAAGAAATAGCAAATGATTTTCAGAACAGATGGAACTTTCCTAACTGTGGGGGAGCATTCGATGGAAAGCACATTCGAATAGTTAAACCAAAAAATAGTGGCTCCTATTTTTTTAACTATAAAGAATACTTTAGTATTGTTTTAATGGCACTTGTCAACGCTAATTATGAATTTGTTTACGTGAATGTAGGCTGCAATGGTAGAGTCTCAGACGGAGGTGTATTTGAGTCTACTGACTTTCATGACAAATTAATCAACAAAACGCTAAAATTGCCATCTACACATGATACAACTGAGAATTTAAATTTTGTTTTTGTGGCCGACGAGGCATTTGCCTTGCATGAAAACATTAAAACCATATCCTCAGAAGAATTTGTCTCCAGAACAGCGAATTTTCAATTACCGACTTAGCAGAGCCAGACGAGTAGTAGAAAATGCATTTGGAGTGCTTGCCAATCGTTTTAGAGTTTTTCACACAGCGATAAATATGGATCCCAATAAAGTAGATTTTGTAGTATTAGCTGCTTGCGTATTGCACAATTTTCTTAGCAAGCATGCAAAAACATCGTATACGTCTTCGAACTCGTTCGATCAGGAAATGTTACATACCGGAGAAATAGTACCAGGTGAATGGAGGCAAAGTGGAAACCAACAATTACATGGACTACAACTTGGCTACCTCAGAAATGTAGCAGAAAATGTAAAACAAAATCGCGAAAATTATAAAAAATATTTTATGACAATCGGAAAAGTAGCTTGCCAAGATAATTTTCTTTAGAATTCTCCTGTTTTATCGTTTTTTTTTCTGTTTTTTTTAAAATTTAACGATTCTAAGGTGATTTTAAGAAATTAAAATAAATACTTAAAAAGTATACTTACTTCATTTTCTTCATTATCTCCTCCTGTTTTTTCAGACTCGTCTTGTATATCTACGCAGGAAGACAGTGTTTCCCCCTACATTCTTCTTGATCTGTCGTAAATAAAAGTAGGTCATAGTACCAAAGGGAGGGCGTGTATATTTCGTCGGCCGAAGAACCGCTTCTCTTTGACATCTTCACTTTTTTAAGTTCTTTTCTAAATGCACTTCTCATGTTGTTAATCTTATTTTTCACAGATTCTACCGTGGCTTCACTATCAACTGTTTTATACAACTCAAGCAATTCTTGATAGGCTTTTGCTCGTAAAGCTTTGTTAGCATAACTGGAGTCCTTTATTTTCCACAAACATTTATGCTTTTGGTATAATTCAATAAAATCTTTGATGAAACTTGGTTGGTTTGCCATTTTTTCAACGTCGTCGAATCACTCAATACTGTTACACTTTATGGGGTTAACTAATACACAGCACTATCCACCACTAAAATCACTGAAATCACACTTTTTGCTACTATGTCGCACCACTTAAATACTTCGCCTACCTCGGCCTGCTTATTAATGGTATTATTAGTAAATAATTTTAGTCTGGACTAAAATTTTCCCTTCAGTCCAATGCCGGCCGGCCAACCACTACACACGTTAAGTTTTAACAGTCAACAGGCCGCCGGCAGGCAGCTGCCTGTCAGTTAACTGTGTGTGTGTAGTGAAAAATGGCCTGCCGGCCACGCCCTTTCCGGCCATAGCCGGCCGGCCGACTGAACGTGAATAGGTACCTTTATTCATAGTTTTTATAGTGTCGCGACCCGATTCGCTATAGTGCGTCCAAACCTCCAAATTCAGTATGGAGCTTATGGGAAAATAGTACATGGTTGCCAAACATATGTTACTGATGTAGTGCCTGTAGTTTTATATTACCGTAGATGATTTTTACGGTATAACAACCACACTTCCTAACCTCAATTTCAAAATACAAATTATGCATGCTTACTCCATATCTCTGATAAAGATTAAAGCAAACAAAATTTTACGAAAATTTAATGGTTTATATCACAATTTAACATTGCCAATACAATTTATATTATATCTCTTCATCAGTTGTCACTGGACTCGTATTCTGGATCATCATCTGAAGAAGATTCCGTAACGTTAATTACAAAAGCTTGAATATCGTCTTGAAGATTATCTGCTATCCACATGTTGTTTTCAATGCCCTTTACGTGATTTATATAATGTTGCCAGTTTTCAATCGTGACTTTTTCATAACCAAGTTTGATTAACTCTTGCATGTTCTTTACCTTAAATGTCGTGTTATTCATCTTAATATGGTGTTTTACTCGTGCCCACACCATTTCAATGGGATGTAATTCGCAATGATATGGTGGCAAACGAAGAATCTCATGACCTCTTTCTTGTGCTGTAACATCAAGTTTGTGCTTGTCGTATCGAGGCTTCACTTCAGCTACTGCAGCAAGTAAATCTCGTTTCAACATGTTGTCCTCGATGGGCACTTCTTTCTCCATAAGCCAGTTCATAATGTGTTCTTTTCGCCATGACATTGTTGGAATCTGCTCAACCTTTCTGCTGTGATAGGAAGCATGTCAATCACAATTACTGAATTTGGTGGTATATTCGGAATTAACTGATCGATAAACCACTTCTCGTAAGTATCTGCATCCATTTCATTATGTGCATCTGCAGTATTCTTTTTACAGAGGAAAGTTGTTACCGTTGTGACCACCAGCATGCACTAAGGCAAATCTTGGTCCAAGACCACTTCGTAATCTCAATCCAGTGCTCAGCCCTTGGATGAATGCTTGTCGACTGCTGTTGATAGTGGTATCACGCCATGCCTTATTTACTGCATGCCCCACATTAACCCATGATTCATCGGTGTATACGATGTTTCTATCTAAAATTATTTTATAAGGAAATGTAGAACAAGTGTGACATAAAGTGCCTATACCTTCTTCTCTGTATTTTTTATGCATCTTAGGTATTTATGCCTCCAGCGTATGATGTCGTCACGTTCAATAAGAATGCTCTTGCGTCCCATCTTTTGAAACTCGAACCCAATATCTTTTAAGAGATTGTGTAGTGTACTACGTTTAAAATTTGGTAGATCATCATTACTATTAATGGAAGCCAGAATACTATTCATTGTTGGTGGATTATTTTCGACGAAGAAGCTGTGGATGTCGGTAGTCCGGAATGGGACAAGTCATCGCCGCCAACTCATCGCAGCCGGTTCATCGCCGAGCCGTGTCATCGCCGGCCAACCCATCGCCGCCCAACTCATCGCCGAAAGTGTCGGTTTCTTGGTTATTGCATCCACCATGCCATAACCACCCGACAAGGCAACGAAATAAAAGAATGTATGGGCAGTAAGTCTTATCTATTTATTCATTCGGCATTGAAAAGGTTACAACAACAACAATATTTTCACCATTATTAAAGCTTACATTATAACAATCTGATCCACTATGGTAATCAATATTATTAAAACGCAAGACACGAAAAACTTAAAAACTACGAATAATAAGTATGGATATAATGACTTTCTAAAACTGGTAATTATGTGCCAAGCCACGTAAATATTCAATTTTATCTCGGATGTGGTATTGTGATACAATTGATTTTATCCTTTCGTCAGCCATGCGGGAATGCGGGATTCGGCCCGTTTTGGATGTACAACGTAATAATTATTAACGGGGTATTCTAACCGAACCACAACGTATTCTAAAGTCCCATCTTTTTTTAATGCATCGCTATGAGCTGGGAGCACATCACCATTTCTACATTTCACCGCTAAATACACTGTCTCTAAGACTGGACTTACTAACTCCATTGATTTCAGTTGACCAATGAACTCCAATTTATCATTTCTCTTATACCCAATCACATCTTTCTTACCCTTAACCCACGCTATCATCTCTCTCTTCGTGCGAAAGTGACACCTCGTCGAAGCCTCAGAAATGGAACCAGTCGCATACTTATCATACATATTCCCGTGGTCGCACATACACGTCAAATACCCTGCCTTAGATAACCGAGACCTAGGAATGAAGCTTAAATGCAGAATCGTATTGGGCGGTAAACCATTGAAAGTACCATTGCTTACACATTCTTCGTCTTGCCCTCGTTGTCCAGTCTCTGTTCTAATAATAATATGATGTTTTGTTTTTGCATTGCATAAGGTGACGTCGCTATCTAGTAATTGGGTCGGAACACTCATTCCAAAGGGACGTTGCGACTACCCCGACATCGCATCAAGATGTCTGATATGAATGGAGTGAACTTGAAACTCTACAACCACCTGCCTGATAATATCAAAGCACTCGACAATAGAAAATTTAAAATCAAAGTTAAGCGTTTCCTTACCAGCAAAGCGTTATATTCAGTCAATGAATTTTTAAGCACACAAATATCACCAAGAGACATAGTATAAACTTTGTACGCTTACATGTACCTATGTACCTACCTAAAATATTATTTATGTATATATGTTAAATGTAAAATAATTTTATCGTATAATGTATATTTATGTTGTATGTTACTTTGTATGTTACTTTTATATGTTATGCTTGACGTGCCACAAACACATCTACCAGACATGTAACGTGGTAAATAATAAATGAAATTGAAATTGAAATATTTCCTCAATTTGGGAGGTGCGCTGTTTCCTGCCACTAGTTGTTCATAATATGTATCACGATTTTTCTGGACCTTCCGCAAACCATCAATGAACTTCCACGTTGTTGGATGATGTACTCCCAATTCCGTCTGTATACGGCGATGTGCAGCTTCAACATGATTGTTCGTGCGGTCTTGATCGTTTAATACTCTATCGTACAGATTCCAAGTTTCTGGCGGAAACAAAGGTCGCCGTCTCCCATTGCCACGTCTGTTAAGACGACCCATGTAATTATCCTCGAACCAGTCCAACAGAGGTTGTAATTCTTGAGGTAACTCTTGCCCAAGCTCTTCCACAAATCCGTCGAGATCGTCCAATGGTACGAAGACCAAAGAAATCACCATTTTTGCTTTTAAAGCAAATTCGGCATCGTTGTTATAGAGTGCCACAAATCCCATGTCAGTCAAATGTTTTTTCATATTCTTTGCTAAATGAAAGAAGCAACCTCTTATAGCAGTGTCAGGGAAGCATTCCGAAATTGCAGAAATTGCTGCCGACTCAAAATCGCAGCTGACTGAGTTGGGATGTAAGTTTGGTGATAAGTTCTTTATCGCTTCAAACATTTGCACGTAAGTTGCACGTTGCTTGTTAGGTAAAAGTGCATATAGAATGGGATGCACTCCTCCAAGTTTTTTTGCCATAATGACGTAGACTTGCGCAAACAATCTTGGTGCAATTGAAAAAGTTCCATCGACAAACCATGTTTGTGACGATTGTAGGTATTGGATCCAAGTCTCTCTACCGAAGATTAAAATTCTGTTGTTGTCGTTACGGCCACTATCATGTAGTAAGAAATTTTCTTCCACTGCACCTTCAGAACGGTATACTTTGTAAGCATCCGGTATCACAAGATCTCCTAAAACAGCAGGATCCAGTGGTGCATTATGAATTTCATTTCTTTTTCGGCGAATTACTTTTCTTAACGCTGCAGTATTGGGAATAGCGGCTTGCCCAGCTTGTGATAAATTTCCTATACACTGGTTGATAACTTGAACCGTGTTTTCAACAGTTGATTCAGCACGACGTTTAATAGTTGTTATCACAGTTGCAACTTCCACACCAACTGACGAAGAGTCGTGAGAATGATCATTTAGTTGCTTTATGACTTCTCCGTTCTGGGTATGCAGTCTTGCTTTGCAGCGACCCATCTGATCACACCGCCAAAATTTGACACCAACGTTGCACTTGCTACGCTTATCAAAAATATACAAATGACCTTCGTAATTAAACTTTTCGCGGCCCCGTTGGCTCACAATTTCCGCTTCCATGACACTATCAAATATGCCTTAATCGCCAAGGAATGAGAATAAACTACCAAACTGTAATTTTGAGAAGGGTTCTTATATCCACTACAACCTAATTAATTTCATCAATACCTCATTAATGTTAGCATGTGATTAATAAAAATGTTGATGTCTTACTTTCTAGTTTCATTAATTATCATTTTGGATCAGAGGGATTTTTCAACTTGGTAATCAACAACCTGATTAGTCTCATCAAACTCATTCGTATTAGCATGTGATTAAACAAAAATTTTGATGTCATACTTTCTAGTATCATTAATTATCATTGTGTATCAGAGGAATTCTTTAACTTTGTACTAAATTTTCGATGCTATGTATAATCATTGCCATTATTTAGTTATACGCTTTTATACTGGTTAAGGGATTTTTGTTGTTGATGTAACCTTTTCAATGCCGAATTAATAAATAGATAGGACTTACTGCCCATACATTCTTTTATTTCGTTGCCTTGTCGTGTGGTTATGGCATAGTGGATGCAATAGCCAAGAAACCGACACTTTCGGCGATGAGTTGGCCGGCGATGACACGGCTCGGCGATGAACCGGCCGCGATGAGTCGGCGGCGATGACTTGTCCTAGACCGGTGGATGTTACGTCGAATAACAGACTGTATATCCTGGTCATATACACGAAGACGATCATTTATTTGAGCACCCTTTCTTTTCATACGTTTTTTGGGACTGGAGATTCCAACAGTTTGCTCTTCCTTTTTGATGCTATAAATGCTGCGTTCTGTACAGCATAAAGCCTTGCTTGCTTCTTTAACTGCTGCGCTAATGTTCATTGTTGAGGAGAAATAATTCAGAACATTAACGATGAGTCGTTTCTCTTTACGGCTGAAATATTGCCCCTGGTGTCGTTTTATATTTGCAGGTCCAGCTTCATATCCTTGTACTTCCATATTATTGGAAACTCTACAAAGTTAACCTCAATGACAAAATCATAGGAAAACCCATCATTACCTTAAAAACGCTTGTAAAATGTAAATGATTTATGCGTTCTGAAAAGAACGATTTTTTAATAAATGCGGTACGAGAATTTAAGAAATTACGGAGAAAAACAAGAGCAATATAAATGTGACAGGTGACAGACGACTGATGAAATTACAATTTACAATTGACAACGACAAACGTTGCCACAGCTTACTTACTATAAGTAAGCTGTGACGTTGCCTTGTAGGACAAGGATTGTGTTATTTGGGAATCGCTAAAGATAGTAAAGGAGGTGTATACTCCATAAGAGCCCATACTGAATTTGGAGGTTTGGACGCGCTATAGTTTCTTGGTTACGTAGTTCAGTATTTAGATCGATGTAGGTTCGTAACCAAGGCGACTGCGTAAATTTAATTCCTCGAGTATTTTTTTAGAATTAACCCGTGTTCCAAACATTGCTTTAGCATCCTATAATGAATAACGTAATTTTCTTTATGATTTAAATTTGGAATTAGTTTTTTATACTTTGAACTAGCATTGGGTAGAATTAGTTGAGGGCAAGAAGGCATATCGTTATGGGTGTCAAGCAACGCTTCAGGATACTCTAAATCAACTTCTAAAACACCCGATCCGTGATTCATCTGATAT